GGGGGGGGGGGGGGGGGGGGGGGGGTGGGGGAAGGGGGAGAAAACAAAAACAAAAAAACCCAAAAGCTAAAAAACCCAAATCTTGTTCTCTACCACTCTCATAACAAAAGTCTTCGGCGCTCCCTACTAATTTGAAAATTAAATAAAGCATCTTCAGATTCATTAACCATTTACCTTAATCATTTCCAGTCATTCCCTGTAGAAATAATTGAGTCAGATATTATCTTGCTATGCCTTTCCATCTTGACCTTATTTTCTCCATTTGTAAAAATGATATTCAGTTCATCCAGACTGACCTCAGGATCGCGCTCAGAGGCTGGGCCGATCCTTCAGGAGTGAGGTCTCTTTATGCGTCTTTGAGTTCATCTGGAGTTTTTAGACATTTGCATTTGGCTTGGAAAACCGGCGTGGTGTGTTTTAGCTTAAGCAGGAGCGTCTTCGGTGGGCTCGAGGTGTGTCTTCAAGGTCTGTTCCCAAGGCCGGCGGGTCTGGAGCCCTCACGACACTGTTGACCCCGAAGGAAAAAAGACTCAGTCACCCAAAGAGCCCACAAAAGAGGCAGAGTAGGCAAGAGGAAAACACACAACAGAGACCCATTGCGTTTATTGGACATTAAAACGGGAGAAGAGAGAAAAGGAAAAGTGTGCGGAGAGGCGGTTGGTGGTGTGACGCCAAGCAGCTTTAGAGTTTCTAAAATCAGCAATACTTTGCCGATTCACACTCGACTTGCCCTCGTGAGTTGGGCTGCTTCTGTTCCTCATCGCTCACAAACTAGGCTCAGCCTTCTCTTTCATTTCTTTTGGAAAAATCAGTAAATTTAAGCTGCGGCCTGCGGCCGCTCTGGGCAGTTATTTCACAGCCCAGGCGGATGAACTAGAACCGTGAGCAGACGTTGGGGGCCGGCTGCAGCTGCCTGGAACCGGCGCCATCCGAACGCCGGCCCGAGGCTCCACCCGGGGCCACAGCCCGCCTTGGTCCGCTCAGCGGCGCCCGGGCTGACCCGGGAGCCGCGCGTCCTGCTGGAGGAAGTGCCACCCACCCCAAAGTGAGTCCTCCTTCCCGCCTCGGAACATTTCTGCCTGCTCCCCTATTTACTCTCGGCAGTGCCCCCACCCCCCCATTCCTACATTCTTCAGCCTCCCCCCTGCGCCTGGTGCTGACGTCTATCAAGGGTGAAATGATGGAAACTATATTCATGGGCATGATTTCCATTAAATATCAATTAACCTGGGAGCCTCAGCCAGGCATGCCGTGCGTCAAGGGTAAATGTACATCTAATTTCCGCAAGGCCCGCTCGGCTGGAAAAGAGGGGTCCTGATTCATTCTGATAACGCCAGGATTTGGGGACACGCTTGTGGCCTTTAATCAAACCACTTATATAGGCCCAAATTCAGATGTACGGTCCGGTCCGTCAACACCGCTTATCCATGTTCCCTGGATTGCGCCCACACGTCCAGAGACACAAAAGCCACGGCCAATCTGCTGGGTGGCTTCAGAGTCTCGGGGAGGGAGTCATTTGCTCCGCAGCCTCCTGAGAGTGGCCTCCCCGCCACCCCCAAGTCTAAGGTTCTGCCGCGCCCCCTCCCCGCCTCCTGTGGCCCGTTCCCCCTCTGCCCGGGAGCACTGAGAGCCCTTGGCAGTGCGGCTTTATGGGCCCCCTTTAAGGCCGGCGGAGGCATCTCCGGGTCGGCGTAAGGCGTCGGTCTAGCGCAGCGCCTCTCCTCCGCGCGGATCCCTCCGCGCAGTTATCTCGCCCCCATCTCACTACCTCTCCTCGCAGCGGCGGGGTGCGAAAATGCCTCGCCGGCGCGCACCGGGGCGGCAGC